GTGAATCCTGGAAAAAAAAATCCAAAACCTCCAAGTCCGAGGTCATTTTTGGAAAGGTGTGGGTAACGGAATGAGAGGGGTCTTTGGGGAAGTCTTCATATTCCACCTCATCCAATATACATGCTACAATAGCAAGAGAAGGTTTTCATATAGGGCACTCACTTGTAAACAGCACATGCACTGTAAATGTGTGTGTGAGTCAGAAATGTCTGTAGCAGCTTGGACAACAAAGATGTGGATGTGTAATCGGGTTGGAGCAGTGGACAGGAGGGCACTTCTTCTCATGGCAAGTTATATTCCCACCCTAAAACAGAGACGAACCAAAAGAACTGTCAATGATATTAACAGGCATGAAAAGTGTGAAGTCAAACTGTGTTATAATTGAGAAAAGAAAAAAGCACAAAGAAAGCAGAAATATGTCTCCTGATGTGGGAAAAGCCATAAAATGCACACTTTGCCTGATTTTTTTGCACTAGATACAAAACATTTTATATACACCTGCCTTACACCTGCAGTGCAAACAGGGTCCACTCCCAGGAAGCCTGAGCATTTCCCCATTAGCATACACCCTCTGATCATACTGACAGTCTGGAAGAAAAAACACAAATAGCTGATCGGTTGTTTCTGTAAAAGTTGAAATATGTGAGGGAACTAGACGCATATTTTTGACACTGACCATTGCATGTGGCACAACACTCTCCTCTGTGCCTAGCTGGATGAGTACAGTGTGATGTAGGACATGATGCAGCCATGGTTCTACAAAACACTTCACCTGCCTAAGAGACAGAGAAAGAAAAATATTGAATGTATATGTCAAATTCTCCACTTAGTTGTCACATATATCACAGCAAATCTGAAAGACAAATAAATTTAGATCCATTTTTCAGTCACATGAACATCATGTAACCATAACTATCAGCCTAAACTCACAGAGCAGTAGCATTGGAGGCAGGGGTCACTCTTTGAGGTGAAAGTTTCTCCATTTCCATACACTTTGGACTCATATTCACACTGTTCGCATCTACAGGTTTA